GTGCGTGTGAGTGTTCGTGTGTAAGTGTGTGTGTGTGTGTGTGTGTGTGTGTGTGTGTGTGTGTGTGTGAAAAAAACACACACACAAGCCAACAAACCCATCCGAGCAGACAAAACTCACATTAAACATTAGAGTTTAAAGAGTAATTTTAATAATTTTCATCAAATCAAAATGTAACAATTCTGTTTATTTCTTGGCAAACAAAGTGCTGCACAACAGAGGTTTACCGTCAGACTTGAAGAAGAAAAAAGTGACATTCCTTAAAAAATAAAGTTTTAATAATTAAATTTAATAATGTTTTATTAATATTATTACACTACATGCTGCTGTACAATAGTAATATATTTCTGTCGTAACTGCTACACGTTAAACCAAACGTTTATTGTGGCGGGATGTAGTGATAGTTTTCTCAGATGATTTATTCTTCTGATTTATTTCACTTTCATTTTTATGACCGGATTCCTCCTGTGTTTTCCACATCCCATAAATCACAGAGCCCTACATATGACGCCCACATTTACATTTCAACGACATTCACGCCATAAAGATGGACAGACAGGACAGACAGGACTCTTAAAGGTACGGTATCAGTGAGAACAACAGCGAGAAACTGCGAGAACAACCATCCCGCATTCAGATGTTATTGTATTTCAGCGACGTCACTCTATCGGGGCGCGCCGCTCTCTTCCAGTCTTAGTCACTGCAGATGAGTTACACAAGCTGCTGTTTTTCAGCAGGGTAATAAAAGCCAGCGTGGAGCGAGCTGCAGACAGCGGCGGTTCTCTGCTCTGAAGACACACACGAGAGACTGACCTTTGGGCGGATTTAACGGATGAAAATAACACCGGGAACAAACACAACCCTTTTCTGTCCTCACTGAAAGCAGGACTACAGCACACAGTCTGCCATGTGTTCCATGCTTTCAGAAAAAACAGCATCGCTGATAGACCTTAATAATAATAATAATAATAATAATAATAATAATAATAATAATAATAACAGTAATAATAAACTTAACCTTTGGAATATTTTATAATTCTAGTCAAAAGTTTGAAATACAATATTTTAATAACATTAATAATAATAATAATAGTAGTAGTAGTAGTAGTAGTAATAATTAACTTAACCTTTGGAATATTTTATACTTCTGGACAAAAGTTTGAAATAATTTCCATTTTTAGAAATTGTAGAAAACAATTCAGCATCAGTAATAGAGCTTAATGATAAATTAAAACAATATTTTAATAACATTAATAATAATAATAATAGTAGTAGTAGTAGTAGTAGTAATAATTAACTTAACCTTTGGAATATTTTATACTTCTGGACAAAAGTCTAAAATAATTTAAATTTTTAGAAAAAAAATTCAGCATTAATGATAGAGCTTAATAATAAATTAAAACAATATTTTTAATAACATTAATAATAATAATAATAAATTTAACCCTAAAATATTTTATACTTCTGGTCAAAAGTTTGAAATAATTTCAATTTTTAGAAATTGTAGAAAACAATTCAGCATCAGTGATAGAGCTTAATAATAAATTACAATAATAATTTAATAATAATAATAATAATAAATTTAACCCTGAAATATTTTACACTACTGATCAAAGGTTTGGAATAATTCAAAAAATGTTGTAACCCTGTCCAAACATGACATTTCTGTATTGTCTCTTTATGGATTTACCATTTAGCACAAATTTATAATCAAAATTAACAATAAAACATGAACAATAAACAAATAAAAGTTTGCTGGTAAACAAAGTGCCGAACAAAAGAGGTTTACTGTTAAAATAAAAACAGGGAAGAAAAATGGTGTAATATTCCTTCAAAAAATAAAGTTTTATTATTATTATTACTGTACACTAGTAATATTTTTTATCGTTTTATTATTATTATTATTATTATTATTATTATTTATTATTATTATTATTACTGTACACTCGTAATATTTGTAATCGCGTTATTATTATTATTATTATTACTGTACACTCTTAATATTTTAATCGTATTATTATTATTATTATTATTATTATTACTACTGTACACTAGTAATATTTTTAATCGTTTTATTATTATTATTATTATATTATTATTATTATTACTGTACACTAGTAATATTTTTAATAGTTGTATTATTATTATTATTATTACTGTACACTCTTAATATTTTAAACGTATTATTATTATTATTATTATTACTACTGTACACTAGTAATATTTTTAATCGTATTATTATTATTATTATTATTACTGTACACTAGTCATATGAATAAATTTAACCTGAAATATTCTACACTACTAGTCAAAGTTTGGAATAATTACATTTTTTAATGCTGTCCAAACATGAAGTTTTTGAAGTCTCTTCTGCTCAGCAAGGCTGCATTTATTTCATAAATAATACAGTAAAAACAGTAATATTGTGAAATATTATTATAATGTAAAACAGCTGTTTTCAGGATTCACAGATGAATAGAAAGTTCAACAGAACAGCATTTCTTTGAGACAGAAGTCCTGTGTAACATTAGAAAGGTTCACCTGAAGAAGCCCTTGCAGCCCTCGCAGGTCATGGCGTTGAAGTGGAAGCCGGTGGCCTTGTCTCCACACACTCCACAGATCCGCGGCGCGTTGCGGTCAAACTCATCCTGACCCGTCGCAGACGTGCTCACGGCCATGGGATCCATCACTGAAACACGGACAGAGCGAGAGGAGCGTCACCTGATCTGCAGAAACACCTCGCATGCGATGAATCCACAGCAACCACGAGAGCCGGAACATATTTACATAAATCACTTGCATTTATGCAATCAGTTGCTTTTATCCACAGCAAAACATCAGCTGAAATCTGTTCCTACTCTATCTGATCCTCAAAGATTAGGATGAGTTTGTTTCTTCATCAGGTTTGGAGAAATGTAGCACTGCATCAGTGTCTCATCAATGGATGCAATTTTCAGCAGATTTTATTTTTTGGCTGAACTGTTGCTTGAACCCATCCATCTGTCACTAATGGTGTGGATTACACCAGGATTCACACCTGTGTGTGCAGGAATAATGAATGTTCAGCGAGTTACAGAAGCGCGTTGCATAATGAAAAGAGCATCTACAGGTCAAAGGTCGGCGAGAACGAGAGCAGAGGGAAAGAAAGCAAGCATGCAGCGGGTCTGGTTTCCATGAATACTCACGCCGAAAGCATTTCTACCAGCTATGATAATATTAATAATAATAATGTGTGTGTGTCGTTCAGCAGGTCGTTCCTGGAAGCGATCAGCTTGTTTTGCACAGCGAGAGGACAAACAGCAGCAGCGTGCTGTGTGTGTGAGTGTGAGTGTGTGTGTGTGTCTGTGTGCGTGTGTGTGTGCGTTTGTGTGTGTCTGTGTGTGTGTGTGTGTCTGTGTGTGTG